GCCGTCCATACATCTGAGGCGTCGTTCATAAATAATTCTGAAAGTAGATACATGCATGTCCGACCGCCATGTCCGAGTTAGACACTGCCATGATTGTATGTACACGCATTGTCACATTGGTCGGTTTCGTTTATTACGAGTTACGTGTTATGAAAATATCAAAAGCATAGTCACTGTGTGAACTACATCAATACTCTTCTTCATGTTAAAACATTGTTCAAAACAAGCACATGTCATGTATCTGTCTCCCTGGGAATACCACCCACAAGACATGGGAGTTTTGATACCCTGAAATATATAAATATATCCGAATTATATTCCTAAGATTCAATTAATCTGAAATTTGAGTATCTTGATGTAAACATGCTACTGATGTAATATAATGTGGGTGAAACATTCCAGCAAGAGTGTGTCCTTGTATCATTGAATGGTACATGGTATCAAGGAATAGTATCATGAAGAAATACAACCTTGTCCCTTTCAGATCGAATCGATTATCTATATATCCTCTATGCATAGAACTGACTTGCTTCAACAAGGACACTTTGACTAATGACGAATATGTGTGCATACATGGTCAAATCGTGATACCTGAAATACTTACTCATATGTGGTACGTGCTTCTTCTATTTTTATCAATTTGGTGACAGTCACCTCTATGACGTTCACCCTGAGTTGGAAAATAGAAAAAAATTATGTCATTTCATTAAAAAAATATCTAACATGATTGAAATGAATGCATGTTTGTCGTCAACAGTGTTTTATGTCTGCTGGTTTTTTTAAACAGCATTTGTCAGTAAAAGGGGCATACGTGTACACATACACTGAAGTCTAGCTCAGTTGTTCAGGATCTGTACAGCAATTGCCATCACGGTGATTTTCTCACACATTAAAGTGATATGCCACATTAATGTATTCCCGTCACTTTTATGAATTACAGTGACGTCACACAAACAGGTTACACTTGCGGTCCCGCTAGACAAGTGCTTAAGATTTTACGAACTATTGACGTTAATAGTGACTACTATTATACATACTATTCATGGTAAAGTCAATAGTATCCCCGTATCTGGACTTCAGCTGAAAGTTTGCTGGCATGACTATTTGATGACAGAACGGCGATTTAGCCTTGTAGCCCCCTGGCCACTCGCGCCTCATTATATTAATAACGCAAACTATATTTATAAGGATTATTTTGTGCAGGGTATGCTTTAGCTCACATCCAACAATAAAAAAAATATCCAAACGTATAATGACAAAGGGGCGGTAGGGTAACCTAGTGGTTAAAACATTCGCTCGTCACGCCGAAGACCCGGGTTCGAATCCCCACATGGTTACAATGTGTGAAACCCATTTCTGGTGTCCCCCGCCGTGATGTTGCTGGAATGTTGCTAAAAGCGGCGTAAAACCAAACTCAGTCAGTCAGTACAATGACAAAAGATAGTCACTGCAATGGAACTATCACGATACATTCTGGGTTTAAATACTGTATGCCATCATATTGATCTACTTACCCATTTTTGTTGAGGCCAGATGACGTGGTTTGGAGTACGAAGAAGACAAGTAATCTCACAGCACATGTTGAAATTTTAAACACTTATTATAAAGCTAGCTTAACCATATCACGTACTGCATTCCTGAATTTCGTCTGGACAGTCCACTAATCCATTAAGATCACCGATCCCACCTGAGAGAAAAAACTTGTTCTGCCTTTAACATATACAAGCTCATAGTCAATAGGTCAGTGTCGCAACCCCCCAATGATCACACACACACCCAAACCGGCATACCAGGAAGTGATATTCAAACGGACTTTGTAATGGAAACAGCTAAGTTTCTTGTTCCTTTCAAGATGACAGGAAAAGCACCCATGTTCGAATTTACGTTACAGACGTTAACCCTCTTGGTGATAGAGAGATTAACCCACGCCTGGAAGGGGAACTTAACGCCTGTTATAAGTGCGTGTATGTTGCACAATGTGTTATCCAAATACTGATTAACTGCGTGAGCTCCTTGTTGTTTCGTGTGGTAACGATATTGGGAAGTCTAAAATAAGGTTTTTAACATGATGTCATGAAGATAATTTTCTCAGTGAGTTTAAACATGGAACAGTGAAATATGTCAAGGTGTATGTCAATGGATATGAACACGTAAAAGAGTGTATATTTCCGCATATGGCACAGTCTTATGTGTATCTTATAACGGAGCGTGGTCTTTATTTTAACTCTAACCTATTACATGAAAGTGATAATTCTTGAACAATTATTAGGAATTCAGTTTACAAAACTTATACTGTTTCACAAGCAAAGTATTACGAATTTATGTGTTTTTAATCTGATGATACATGGAATATGTGTGCAACTAACGTTCTTATTCCATTAGCTCCATGACATTGCTTTTATTCTGTATAACTGCTGCTTGTTACAAGCAAAATATATGAATTGATTGGTTCGGCTAGGTGAATTGGGACGGCGGTGTTCATAATGTCAACCACTGGAAGGTTTGCTACAAACTCGATCATTCACAGACTGTGCAAAATGTAACACGCATATTATGATTGTAGCGAAGAACAATAAACTTGATATAACCTTTACAATTAACATTATTATCCAATGTGTAATTGTATACATTAAACAATGTGACATATTTCATGTGTTGTTTCATGCGACTCTGTGCAGGGTATAGCACACATATGTAAACTAACAACTTTATATCGCATTGGGAGAGCCGGCTGATAAAGAGTTAAACAACTTCACAAATCTGACACACATCCAAGGACCTATTCAACCTATTCACAGTAGCTATTCAGACCAAGTGTCCCATAGAATCGAGTCAGATTTGCGATCGAAATGTATACGGACAATCTGGAAAGTTAGTACACGTTTGTCCCGCCACTAGCTGGTTAATAACACCCTCCTGGTCTGGCTCTTAACATACCCTAGGCCTGTCTAAGGAAAAGGAACAAAGTTCCAGTGCTTGTACGCATGTATTTTTATCATAAGAATCGAATTTCGTTCTGGTACATTTTGAACACAGTTTCCATTACAAATGTTCAACAATGCCTCTTTTCAAAACATTTTGGTAAAACGGCGAGCTGGTAAATGTGAAAATGAACATGATGTCATAATAGTAAGGCAGTATAATGAATACAGTGCGTTGAAGTGAGGTTTATAAACCAATGATGACATACACAAAGAACATATTTAAGCACCGCATGACATATCACACGATTGAATAAGCCCCGATCTTAACCCTTTCGAGCATATCTGGGTTGGAATGCTCGCCGTGTGCAGCAAAGGGATCCTCCTATACAGAACCTGGCCCATTTGGAAGCTGCTTTACACGAGGAATGGCGTAGACTGTCCCTTCAGAGGATCAGGAGGCTGGCAGGGGGTATGAGGAGGAGTGTGCTGGCTGTCATACAGTCACATGGAGGATACACTCGGCCTTGACCTTAAATCGTGTATGACACGTAAAATGACATTTTGAATGCCTACATACACCAGTAAAACTCAACATTAAACATTCTAGGGCCATACTTGTACAGACATGGTTTTGTATGAAAATCAGTGTGTGTGTTTTTTTAAATGAGCAATTATCATCATAAAATCAACATGGATTCCAATCATTTTGTCGTTTTTGATGAGTCAAAGGATCATACGGATCTGAAAAACTCAGAATTTTCCATCGTGGTCACCACGAGACGTTTTATGTACGTGTTGAAAACCTATCATTGCAAACATACAGCGGATGCTTAATTAAGTTCTTTGTGCATAATTGTATGATGACAGACAAGTAATCAGGAGCACCTTACAACCAGTAGTCAAGTATGTCAGTTGCTGCTATGACCGCCAACAGTCGTGAGGGACTATAAGGTTAAGACAGGGAATTTCTAAGTTTACGTTACTGCATGTGTATCTCCCAATGGCGAGTTGAGGAATTCTGTTCAGTCCGTTTAAATGTTATAACGGTGTTACATCCTGCAAAGCTTTCACGACAAAACAAAAACAAATCTGGCAAATACTGTTTGTTCTGAGCTCTGTATGGTACAGGGGTACATCGGGTGGATCCGTCCAGACGCAGCAAGTCCCTATTGAGAGGTGCGTCGTTTCGATACGCGATACACCTTTGATCGCTCGTTCGAATCCCTGTTCGCTCAGATTGTGTGAGGGAGGTTTTCTTTTTACGCCGTTTTTAGCAATATTCCAGCAATATCACTGCGGGAGACACCAGAAATGGGCTTCACACATTGTACCCATGTTGGGTTCTTCAGCGTGTTGAGCGAACGCATGATCCACCAGGCTACCCCGCCGCCGCTCAGATTGTGTTTCTTGATTTGACAGCATCATACCCCTATACGCGTTTTCACGTTTGAGATGTGCATCACCCCTATACGTTATTTCACGTTTGAGATGTGCATCACCCCTATACGTTATTTCACGTTTGAGATGTTTCACATGAGATGTGCATCACCCATACACAAGGTTTCACGTTTGAGATGTGCATCACCCATACACGAGGTTTCACGTTTGAGATGTGCATCACCCGTACACGAGGTTTCACGTTTGAGATGTGGTTCACCCCTATACGCGATTTCACGTTTGAGATGTGGATCACCCCTACACGAGATTTCAAGTTTGAGATGTGCATCACCCCTACACGAGGTTTCACGTTTGAGATGTGCATCACCCCTACACGAAGTTTCACGTTTGAGATGTGCATCACCCCTACAAGAGGTTTCACGTTTGAGGTGTGCATGTGAGATATTTTCCTCCCGTATATCCGTGTTTTATACTGTTGAACGTTGCGTTAAACCCAAATTACACACTCAAAGGTCATTTTTTTCTATAAAACGGCGACTTTTAATATTTACGATTAGGACCCCATGAACCAGCGGTGCACTATGCATTGTAAGGATCCGCTTGCGATGAAGCTTTTCATGCTTGAAACTACAAAGAACGCATGCCACGTGCATCAAAAGAACATTCACAAAACACAAATGAAGCTACACAAAGTTCGCGTTTATTTTTCAGATAGCTTCCACAAGTAAGAAATGAAAGAGTGTGAAAGTAGGGTTCTGTCAAGAAGGAGAATATTCTAAAAACTTTCCATATTCAGGAGGATCCTTGGTTCAATCACTTCAGGAGAATGGGAGTTACTCGGGTATTCCCCTCCTGCAATCCTGTTATTTAGTATACTAATCGATACAATCATATTTCTTTCCTTGACATCCACAAGTACAAGGATGTTTGTGTGTGTTTGTTTATAGGTTACGTTCAGTTATGGTGGATAATTATATTGAACGTATATGTGAATAGGATGGATAAAAAATGTAAATACCAAGGTTATAAGAAAATACAAAAATCACGCCATGTAAGTATAGAAAAAATATGTATAACATTCACGCTTCATGTCCCCTGTTGCATGTCAGTATGCCGCTCGGTCTGCATCCATGAAAAGGCGAATACCTTTCTCATGAGAGAGCATCCATGAAAAGGCGAATACCTTTCTCATGAGAGACATGTTGCGTGTGCATTTGCATTGCACAAAATGAGTAATGTGTTCGTAAAAGTATAGTTTGTGTTATTCTATGAATTACTATTCAGATTGAATAATTGTATAATATATCATAATTGAAGAGAATGAAAATCGGTGCACCATGCTGGTTTTAAATTTTACCATAATATAGGAAACACGAATGAAGTGCACTTAGTTCAAGCTTACTGTTTGTGTGGACCAGGTCGACAGACCACACGTGTCAATAGCGTTTAGAGTAACATAAATCTCATCAAATCCGCGATATTGCGAATTTAAAGTCAGAGTGATTTCATCGTTCTCTGTTAACAGCTTGTCTACAATATCGGCGCCTCCGAGAACTGTTCCAACGTGAACTTCATACTTCAGGTCGTCCCAGGGAGAAGCAAACATATTCCGCCAGGCGACGGTCAGTCGGTCGCCAGTTTTGACCACAGACAAACGGTCAGAAGCTGTGGGAAGATGTTAAACACGTGAATATTGTGTATATTTTTTACGAAAACGGACGGAATGTGATAATCCATAATTTTAGATAGTGTGACTTATTTTATCACGGTTTTTGAGCAATATAATGTAAGATATCTAGTATGGACAGGCATTTGTTTGGCACGACTAAGCTGTTTTACAGCACAAACCACACACCTGTTATCGCTGGAGGAAGCCCATGCACCGTGAAGTTCAACATAGTTGTCTCTCCGTGTGTTCCCATCCCGTCAATAGGAAAACTGAGGGCATGATATGTCGATCCATCCTTCAGTGTTACACCCACTAATGTGGCCAAGGTGTACTCCAGATGGACGGGGACGACATTCTGCTGTGTCAGCGTATCTCCCTCAATACCAATCTGAAACACCAGCAACTGCTGTAAGTACTGGTTTACTGTAGATAGTACTCCAAGTACTGTTTTACTATAGCAACTACTCCATGTACTGTTTTACTATAGCAACTACTCCATGTACTGTTTTACTATAGCAACTACTCCATGTACTGTTTTACTATAGCAACTACTCCATGTACTGTTTTACTATAGCAACTACTCCATGTACTGTTTTACTATAGCAACTACTCCATGTACTGTTTTACTATAGCAACTACTCCATGTACTGTTTTACTATAGCAACTACTCCAAGTACTGTTTTACTATATAGCAACTACTCCAAGTACTGTTTTACTATACTATAGCAACTACTCCATGTACTGTTTTACTATAGCTCCATGTACTGTTTTACTATAGCAACTATGTACTGTTTTACTATAGCAACTACTCCATGTACTGTTTTACTATAGCAACTACTCCTCCATGTACTGTTTTACTATAGCAACTACTCCATGTACTGTTTTACTATAGCAACTACTCCATGTACTGTTTTACTATAGCAACTACTCCATGTACTGTTTTACTATAGCAACTACTCCATGTACTGTTTTACTATAGCAACTACTCCATGTACTGTTTTTACTATAGCAACTACTCCATGTACTGTTTTACTATAGCAACTACTCCAAGTACTGTTTTACTATAGCAACTACTCCAGTACTGTTTTACCAATAGCAACTACTCCATGTACTGTTTTACTATAGCAACTACTCCAAGTACTGTTTTACTATAGCAACTACTCCATGTACTATAGCAACTACTTTACTGTTTTACTATAGCAACTACTCCATGTACTGGTTTTTACTATAGCAACTACTCCATGTACTGTTTTACTATAGCAACTACTCCAAGTACTGTTTTACTGTAGCAACTACTACTGTTTTAGCAACTACTCCAAGTACTGTTTTACTATAGCAACTACTCCATGTACTGTTTTACTATAGCAACTACTCCATGTACTGTTTTACTATAGCAACTACTCCATGTACTGTTTTACTATAGCAACTACTCCATGTACTGTTTTTACTATAGCAACTACTCCATGTACTGTTTTACTATAGCAACTACTCCATGTACTGTTTTACTATAGCAACTACTCCATGTACTGTTTTACTATAGCAACTACTCCATGTACTGTTTTACTATAGCAACTACTCCATGTACTGTTTTACTATAGCAACTACTCCATGTACTGTTTTACTATAGCAACTACTCCAAGTACTGTTTTACTATAGCAACTACTCCATGTACTGTTTTACTATAGCAACTACTCCATGTACTGTTTTACTATAGCAACTACTCCAAGTACTGTTTTACTATAGCAACTACTCCATGTACTGTTTTACTATAGCAACTACTCAACTACTCCAAGTACTGTTTTACTATAGCAACTACTCCATGTACTGTTTTACTATAGCAACTACTCCATGTACTGTTTTACTATAGCAACTACTCCATGTACTGTTTTACTATAGCAACTACTCCATGTACTGTTTTACTATAGCAACTACTCCATGTACTGTTTTACTATAGCAACTACTCCATGTACTGTTTTACTATAGCAACTACTCCATGTACTGTTTTACTATAGCAACTACTCCATGTACTGTTTTACTATAGCAACTACTCCATGTACTGTTTTACTATAGCAACTACTCCAAGTACTGTTTTACTATAGCAACTACTCCAAGTACTGTTTTACTATAGCAACTACTCCAAGTACTGTTTTACTATAGCAACTACTCCATGTACTGTTTTACTATAGCAACTACTCCAAGTACTGTTTTACTATAGCAACTACTCCAAGTACTGTTTTACTATAGCAACTACTCCATGTACTGTTTTACTATAGCAACTACTCCAAGTACTGTTTTACTATAGTCCAAGTACTGTTTTACTATAGCAACTACTCCAAGTACTGGTTTACTATAGCAACTGCTCCAAGTACTGTTTTACTATAGCAACTACTCCATGTACTGTTTTACTATAGCAACTACTCCAAGTACTGTTTTACTATAGCAACTACTCCATGTACTGTTTTACTATAGCAACTACTCCAAGTACTGTTTTACTATAGCAACTACCCTCAAGATTATGATATTTATCAACTACAAACGTATAAAGCTGCAATGATTGATGGTTTACGTTCCGTGTTTTCTGATTTTCTGAAGATATTCAGTTTACCACTGTTTTGAAATGTCGGCTGGTTTTGTCCCATCGGAGTCGGACTTTCTCCTGACTCTGGTGACACATATCCCTCTCACTGTACACCGACTGACTTTCTCTCAGGACACTGAAGCCAGGAACTGATGTCTGGTTCCTTGTCTGGACCACTTCAACTCCATCCGACGTCATGGCCGCCGCCAGCCCCGCCTTGTTGAAGCACCGGACTGTGGTGTAGACTGTCACAGATGACGAGTGGATCTTAGAGGCGATGTCATGTTGGGCTGTGGACTGACCTGGGGGGACCCTCTCAAACTGTTTCATGTCACTGCTGCCTCGTGTCCTCCCTTGTCATTGAACAAGATACTAGTACATGGCGTACGTACAAGAAATGGTTAAGATGTTTGTATATATATGAATACATTAGGACTATGTTTAAATACTGTGACGCCAAACTCGCTACACGTGGAACTGTTTCCATCTACATTCCATATAAATCTCAAACAGTTTATGTCCATTTACTATAGTAGTGAAGACACGCTTCATCCATAAAATTTAATTATACCGTATGGTTAAGTTTGGATTCCTGATTACACATATGTCAACCACATATTTTATCATTTGTGGCTTGCAAATGTCAGGAATTCCCTGAAATATATTTCATATTGAACATTCATATTGTATTGATTAATTTTAGGATTGCCTGAATTTGTGTCTGACATAAGATGTTTACTCTTTGAAAGTTACCACGAAGTGCACGTCTTGTTGCCATGGATCTTTCATTCCAGCGACTTTATGTTAAACAACACAGAAAATGCTAGCGTTTAATATTGTTGGCAATGAAGTATTCCACGTACCAATAGCCCAGTCGCAGTGTTCTACACCTGATTCTTCATCTCTGACTTGCCAGTAGACACTCACCACACCTGATGTCTGATAGTCTTCATCTCGTCCTGGAACAAACGTAAACACTCAATCTGTGTCAATGAAGCAGCTAAATTACCACGTTACGAAGAACTCTTTCAATTATTGCATTTGATGTAATATTAATCCATCAAGAGTTGTAGACCTGCACGTTGTTTTTATTCATCTGACATATATATAAATTTCAAGTTTACCATCCAGACCATCACTGATGAGGTCGAACTGTGGTGCAGTCATGTCTACTGTGATGGCGTCAGAGTATGTCACAGCTGTCAGCCCAGCAGCATTCGTCGCCATGACAGTAATGTAAACAGTGGCGCCATGGAGCAGCTGCACATTAGACAGTGTTCCCTGTGTGGCTCGACCTAGGTCCGTGTAGCCCTGGACATGTGTACCACCTGGAGTTGTGCCTGAAACACAAGGACCTTTTGATTACACGAACGCACAGAGTATGATATGATAAGTAACTTATACACGGACTAACATACTCAGGAAAACGAATAAGGGACCACCTGAAAGTACAAGTGTTACTTTATTCTTTTCCAGGTTTCTTCACATGGTTTGTGTTGCACTGTGGGTGAAATTCTGGAAAAGAATAAAGTAACACTTGTACTTTCATGTGTTCCCTTATTCGTTTCAATGAGTATATATATCATCATTGCGATAACGGTACACTGAAACAATGATGTGTTGATGAGCTCCTGAAAGATTAGAAAGAACTGTGTACATTAGTGAGTGAGTGAGTGAGTGAGTGTGTGTGTGTGGTACGCTGATTTTAGCAACATTCTAGCAATATCACGGCGGAGGACACTAGAAATGTATTTTACACATTGTACCCACGACGTGAACCAAAGCCGGGAATCTATTTTGTCACAATTTCAGATCTGGTCCTATGTCAGAGATTATGCTTTCCTCCCCATCCCCAGTGATAGTCGTTGAAACAAATACGCAATATTCAAGTTAACATATTATTCTTGGATCTATAATATCGAACATTTACCATCTCACTATACTACACAGTGTTGCATTTACTAATTCAGAAAAGTCAGTTGACGTAATGACAATAAATCTAGTTACCAATCGCCCACTTGTACTGTGTAATTGGAGATTGTAGGTCCTCAAAGTGCCAGGAAGCATGTAGAGATGACCAGTGTGACAGGAACACAGAGTGGACCACCAGATGCTCCTCTGTGTCCACACTGTCCTGACCAGCAACATAGTCCACAGTCTGGACACTTACATGGTCCAGTACAAACTCCATCATCCTTGACGATGACGTTATCTTCAGCACTACACTGGTATCTACGGCTGTGAACCTGTATGTGTGCTTGTTCCAGAGGACGACTGAGTGATCTCCGACACTGCAGGTGCCTCTACAGAGGTTAGGGTCAAGGGTAAAGCTGAAGACTTCACTTCCTATTGTAACTATTGCATCAACTGATCTGTGGGTGTTGGAAACAGTCTCTGGGTATCCAGCATGCAGAGTCAGCTTGTACTGCCTCCCAACCTCAAGACCTGAGATCGTTTGTTGGATGCTTCCACTTACGGACACAAACATATGTCCATCTTTAGCTAAAGGTGAATCCGGCGCCTGAACCTTGATACAGGACGCTGTGTCAGTTTCCCATGATGTTGGTATGACGAGGTTGCAGCTTGATGTACTACCTGTAATATCGTCTACCTCGAAAGATGGGTTCTTCACCAGATTGTCTCCAAGATATGCTACATCCTGACGTTCAGGTGGAGATGCATCAACAACGACTCCATCAGATACAACAACATCAGAGGTGTAACCAACAGCATCCACCGCATACACCTTGCTCCATATTCTTGTACCTGAACACAAGATAATGTCATCATGTGATAGGTATATACATATCATCCTATATCTAACATAAGTGGCACTAACATAATGTAGCTTTCTATATTCACTGACCATTAACGATTGGAGATAAGAGTGACCTCCTAGAAGATGTGTGTAGTCCTGTAGCCAACCAGTCCATCACACTGCAATCTGATGTGTCGTTGATTGTCCCCACACACCAGAAATACTTGGCTATGGTGGAGTCTGTGTCCGAGAAGCCGTACCAGGAGGCAGAGACTTCGGATGTTGAACTCTGGTAGTCCACGTCATGGATATCTGCATACATTTTCAACATTATATAATAAACATGCATAAAAGTTTAGTATAGTTTACTGTATATATCATACCTATGTTAATACCATATTAAGAGAGAAGAAAAGATTTACAATATTACGAACCATCGGAGTCCGTCCATTATTCTGCCTGCCACTGGAGGCATGACGTCCACCTGTACTCCATCAGAATAGGCCCAGCTGACCAGACCAGCCTTGTTGTAAGCCAGGACACTGCAGTAGTAGACGGTGTTTGGACGTAAACTCAGACCTGTCGCTGTATAGCTGGTGAAGGTCAGGTCCCCTGATTCATGGATACTGTGACCTGCATCATATAGTATACAAGATAATAACTAGGACAATTAAATGTCCTGGCAAATTTAGTCAAGAATGGGGTCCTCCAAATTCGACAGTTATACGATTGTCTGTTGAATTAGTGAATTGCAATTAGACGAAATTCGTCAAATTCAGTATTCAAAATACCTCCTTGCACAGTGCTGATAAAGACCCTGTATCTGAGGATGCCGCTCTGACCCTGAAGGAACTTTCCACTCCACTGGACAAACAGAGTTTCGTTCTGTGTCTGAAAGTCTGTATCTTTGGTGTCAGTTGGGTGTGCAAGCTCTTTCACCTGTGGTAACACAGCAGCGCTAAGTCACTCCATCTAAACACATTCACCTTCTACAACACTGAAACCAACGGCAGCTCTGTAAAGACATGTGAACAATATAATAGCAGATACTTACAGCTTGGCCCATCTTGACTGTTACTGTGGGTGGTGCTGTTTGGATAAGGACGCCATCCGATTTGAAGATGCTGTTGGTTTTGTTATACCACGCTCTCACAAAGAAGGAATATTTTACTCCAGATGTCAGAGACTTGCCTGCAAATCATCATGACACGTATAACAGCTGTTTACGTATATTGAGATTGTTGAAGTGCTATGTCGATTAGTGATTGAATTGATACCAACTGATTAAAGCTTCAATATGAGCATGTTTGTGTCGTGTGAAGTTGTACACGAGTATGATTCATTCTCACCTGCAGGTAATGAGACAACAGCAGATGTTTGTAGACCTGCATCAAACCAAACCCTGTCGGCCGTGGCGTCAAACACTCCCATTGGCTCATCACTCTCTTCTCCGCCTATACTGTATTCATATCTGTTCCAAAGGACAAATATTACAGACAACAAATAACAAATAACACGTGCCAGGATGCATCTGTGAACTCATGTAAATGTTACAAAGTATGCATAGTGTGTATAGAAAAGACTGCTTACCGTGAAACAGGTGATCCCCCTGACGAGTCAGTCCAAGTGGCAGCCATGACGGTGTTGAACAGACTGACGTCGACGTCATTAGAACCACCCGGAGACATGACGTCCACCACGTCTTTGATTGTGATGTTTTTATCTGCTCCACCAAGATGCAAAGGGGTTGAAGTTTTCGTTAGAAAACGGAAATGAGGGTTTCTAGCAGCTAAATCCTTCCTGCTCTGTTAACCTGTTGTGAGTTTATGTACTGGACATATAGCCATAAATGCAAGACACGTGTAAGAGATCTATAGCTACGAAAATGACTGAAATGTGATATTAGGTCCTAATCCTTGTTCTGTTTGGTTTCCCGTTACTCCACAAACCTGTTTTGTCTTGTGTACATGCTTTACTGGCAGAACAGGTACCGCCCTGCACAGCACAGACACAATGTCCCTCACAGTTGTAGGCCTGGCACCTCCTCACCAGCCACAGAGTAGAGTCTGCCTCCAGGACCAGTTCAGCGTGGTAGGCATCACTCTGTAGGCCAACCTAGAAGTAGAATTGGATACAATCATGCTTTGAGTATAGGATATCTTCAGTTCAAAAAGTTTAAGGACAGTGTCAAAGAACCTACCCCATTCACACCCCAGATAGCTACAAACACAGATCCTGATGACGGCAGGGTACGAGTGTGTACTGTGAAACGTTGCAGGACTCCTTCATCACCCTTGTTCACACCCGAGTCACTGTGGAAGACCTTCTCCGGTAGTGTACCCTGCAATAAATAAATGTGTGTGTATGTTCAAGTTGGATCAGTGTTTCCTCCTTGCACATTTACACCATGTAAAATTGCACGTAGAATGAGTGAGTTTAATTTAACGCTGCACTTTGCAATCTTCAGCTGTATGGCGGTCACGTATAACAACTCTTATTTCTGAATATGAGTTACGCGATCTTTTTTGTCTCTTATAATCATCTCACCGTATTGTAATCTGTTCCGAATTCATGAGATCCTATTGTTACAAGGTAATGGTCCACCCCTGAATGTAGGTCAGAGAAGCCAAGCCACGCCAGGTTCAGACTGGTCCCGGTCCAAGTCATCAAGCCAGTCTGATGTCGTGCAAGTTTCACTGCGTGGTCGGTTTCTATGGCGAACGTACCTGCAAATTAGATATTATTTCATCATCATCATTGTCATCGGATTTCTAATAAGAGTACAATTACCATTCCGCAATCTGTTCCGTTGGACCACAACAAAATCATACCTGTATTTGGTTTAGAGCTGTCAACCAAAATGTTGTTTGTATGTTCCGATACACAGAGACCCGCCATATTGCACGCGGTAACCTTCACCTTGTATTTACTTCCATCATGCAAGTCAAGGTTCACAAAAGTGTATTCTCGAAGTAAACCAGGAACCTGGAATACAACATACATGGATGAATAGATGAACGTTCAGTATTTCTGTGTCAATATTTCGTGGTCACACTTCAGATTGAGTGAGTGAGTTTAGTTTTACGCCACACTCTGCAATATTCCAGCTATATGGCGGCGGTCTGTAAATAATCGAGTCTCGACCAGACAATCCGGTGATCAACAGCATGAGCATCGATCTACGGAATTGGGAAACGATGACATGTGCCAACCAAGTCAGCGAGACCACCCGATCCCGTTAGTCGCATACGATTAGTACCGTTGCGATAAATATGGGTTGCTGGAGACCAATTCTAACTGAATGCCAATTATACTGTGTTATATCTATATAAGACAAACCTTTACCTCAAGATTAGAACTATCTATCTCTCCAAGCTGGTGAGATGATAAGGAGAGGTACTGGCGTTCTATGGAGGACTCAACGTCTTGGAACTCCCAGTGTAGACTCAGAGCTGTCCGACTGACTGTAGTGTTAGGAACAAGGGACATTAACCTTCTCACTGTCGGAGGTGTAACCACAATGGGAACGCTGTCATCCACCAGTACCCCATTAGACATGGCCTTTGAATAAAGCCCTGAAACATGATGCAGTGTTTGTCACGATTCTGTCTACCTGCTACACCTACAATTCGACTGTTGTCGTCAACCGTCTGCAACATACCTGCTTTGTTGAATGCCCGGATAGTGTTGTACAATGTCCGTCCTACGGGCAACTGTTGGTCATGTGGCAGGGTGTGGAAGATGACCTCACCCAAGGCTGCAGTGCGGGCTGAGAGAATGTCGTCAGCTCCTGGTTTTGTTCCGACACGCCATTCATAGTAATCTAATCCTGATTCAGGGTCGCTAAAGCCTCGCCACTTGCAACCGATGAATGTCCTGCGAAGCATACCAACTCTCTGTAAACACTGCATAGTTCCAAAGTAATTTAATGATATTTCCGTCAAGATAGAACTGGTTCTACTTAATCATTTCTACTAGATACTCTATTGTAATACCAAATACTCCTTATCACCTCGTCGCCTGGAACTGTATGTCAACGTCGCCTGTGCCATCCTGCACTGTTCCAGGAACTGGTGGGGAGCTGTCCAGGATCACACCGTCTGAGGTTGAGGAGCTGCTGCAGAGGCCTGCTGTGTTACAGGCTGTCACTGTGGTGAAGTACTTCACTCCAGGGGAGAGCAGGATGTGCTGGAGGCTGATATCTGAAATTGTATAGTATCGATATATTTTTCTTGACATTATTTTAAAAAAGCACAGTCGAAAAGCAATGAACAATCCTCACATTGATGTAGCCCTGTCTTGGCTTCTTTCATTTTGTCGTCACATCCTGCGCAGGTTCCGACCTTGACCTTGTAAATGGCGACACTTGAATGAGGATCGTCGAAGCCTTCCCAGTAGGCTGCCATCTCTGAGACACTGGTGATATAGTCCTTGTCTTTGTCATCATGTGAGGCAGCTGACTGTACTCCGTCATAGACGTGGCCAGTAGATGGAGGCGTGGTGTCCACAACCAGAGGTCGTGATGATGACAGTGTGTACAGACCTGCACCGTTGATGGCCTGGAAGAAGGACATCAATAAGATTGCCCGACATAAGTTAGGACTTCAGACCGTTCTCTATTTATTACAAACAAGTTTATATTATTATTTGAATCTTTAAATCAAAGACGATTGTCTGTTTAAGTGAGACAGACTAGACTCCTACAACCCAGCTACCTCAACGATCGAGATCTACGGATGAACGAACACTCGGGGATCATTTTGTGTCATGATTATTTGTACACATGAAAGAAAAGAAGATAGAAACGTCCAAAGCTACCTTCACAGTTATATAATACGAGTGACCATCCTCTGTTTTATTAAGTGTGTCAATGTCCAAACAATCCTCAACGGTCATCATGTACTCTGACACATCAGCATACGCAAGTCTGGTGCCCATAGCAACGCTGTATGACTTTATTCCACTTTCCTCGTCTGAGAAAACGTTCCTCCAGCTGTGGAATATATCAACGCCGTTTATTTTCCAGTGTAGAATATTACTCCATCAACATTTGCCTTGAACAGGACATCAAATCAGAAACGTCGTGTGACTTCTTCGTGTATGTTTTGTCCACCACTAAAGTAAATATTGAAACCTAAATATTTTGATAATTAATGTGAGGATACATTACAAGTATACCTAGCACACAAAGTTTATTATTCTGTATTGTACATTTGTGAATGTTACCCATATAAAACAATTAGTTAAAGAATTCAACACATAAGAATAATAATACAATCAACTGAAAAAGAAATCAGTGTTAAATCAGTGTTTGGCAGCTATATAAGAATATTTAACGTTAATCCGACCAGAACTGGACAATGTCAGCTTCAATAAGAAAGCCAGTACGTTATCTACAAATGCAGAGTTGTGGAAAATTGCTGCAGTTGTACAGTAATCTCTAGTTCTTGACAGAGTTTGTGTTTAGAATTGAAAACATGTATTGTATCAAGAACAAATGCAGCCTATGTATTTATTGACTCAACAAGGTCGGGAAAAATATTATGAAATATATTTTCGTATAGAATGCTAATTTTGTTCGAGAACCCAACATATTAGCATCAACCTGTCCTTTTTTCCTTCAAAGGTTTCTTTGAAAACATTTGTACGAGCTCATATGCCACTTTCTCAACGTTACCAGACATGTATAAGACGTGATGTAATGTATCGTCCCTCCACGTCAATGTGTTGCCCTGTTAGTACTGGAGGTGTGGCGTCGACAAGGAAACCCCCTGATACAGCAACTGTTGTCTTCTTCACAAAATCTGTGGCTGAAAGAAATATTATTAAGAGATAAGACATTTCTTAAGAACTGAAGCATTTTTTAATGCATAGCATAAGTTGAATGTATACCCATGATGTATTCATCATGTGTCCAAGACATTGAAAATGCATTGATGTCACCTTTGTTAGATTTGAACGAAAGTTTCAAAACTGCCACAATAAACACATATTTAAGTCTGTCACGTATACCTGGGCCTGTGTTCCAAAACATGGAGTTTAGATGAACAAAGCTGAACTTTATCGACCTTCAGCTTACCTCTCACTGAGATATAGTATGTACTTCCAGTCTGCAGGTTGAGCCTGTGTAGAATGTACTTGTTTACATATCCAACACGGGTGTAAATGACAACATCTTGTCCACCAGGGAAAGTACCTGAAGGTAGAAAACATTTATCCATCAGGAATGTCCTAAATTTACCTTAGACAGTGATAATTGTCAAGGAATAAGAAATTGAAAATGTTATATGGTAGAGCAGCATGAACAAATTGTTCAGTTCATTACCTACTGCAACTTCATAAAAGGCAATCCCAGCAGCATGAGTAGAGAATCCTTCCTCTTCCACATCATCAAAAGCGGTCCAGCTAATTGCAACTTCTGTTTTGCTAACCTGTACATGAGAAATATATCAATATCAGTGTACTTGCCCAAATCGATGGCTCTACTGTTGTTTCAGCATTGATCTCACACTAACAACCAAGTTACTTTATATGCTGTCGAAACCAAGGGGAACATTATTTAAAAGGGTTCAGTTAACCTGAAATGTCCCGTCTATGAGGTTCTCGATGTTCACTGTCCCCGGTGTAGGTGGAGTCAGATCGACAGTGATGCCGTCACTGCAGGCGTTCACTTCAGTCAGAGGTGATGTCCACTTCTCAAAACGAGTGTTTTTGTCATCAGCATGGATGCACACATAAAATCTCCTGCCGTGTTGTAAGTAGGACAGCTCTGCAAACTCCACGTTGATGAACTCGTTCACTTGAAAAAAGGAAAAGATGAAGGCATGGATGAATGCGACATCTTTTATAAACGCCAACACCGTACATTTTTACGAAATATTGTTAAAACACACACTCACCCGTGTGTCCACACTTGATGACATCCGGCATGCTACAGGGGTCAGTGACGGTCATCAGAGTCTCTCTCTTGTAGTGAGATGAGGGGTCAACTGGTCACCTGCCACCACTGCCCACGTGTAGTTCCTGTGACGTAGCGTCGGCCACACAGCAGACAGGATGTTCTTGTAGGGAGTGTAGTCAGCATCATTCCAGTGACTATTCTGATCTAAGGTTATTCCTTGACCAACATTTTCGTTGTTTGCTCCTGTAATGAATCATAAATGTACCCCTGGGATGTTTCATCGACAGAACATTCAGTTCACTAGCCTTAAAACGTACATTTAACGAGGGACTAACACATTTTCCTGAAACTTATTGTAACCACGCACTTACCGATAACATCTAGGACAACTGCAGGCACGATATTTGGAGGGTTATATGCTGCACATTCTTTGACATCTGCTGACACCGTTGTATGTAAACCAACGTGGTTGTAGCCCCTGACTGATACTCTTCTGCACTTGGTAAAGCGAATCAGTTTTGGCAGGTTTAGAGTGAAACTTATCTGAAGACAGAAGAAGAAAGTGGTAGCCAACCCATATACCATTTTGTTCACTGATATCGGAAATGCATCCAAGGCATAAAGGATACATGAATAGTCTATTTACATTTTTACCTTGTCATCAGCCACACTTTCAATATCATCAGCATCCACTGTCTGCCAGTCTATCAACATTTTGTCGTTGTGACTGTCATCTGTAAGACCCCACTCGTATCTGTCCATGACGTCATAAGCTTCTTGTAGTACCTTTATATCAGGATCACGGAACCGAGTCATCTTCACCTGGATCTAAAACACCATGCAATAAATACCATAATAACATAATACATTCGGATGTAAAGAAACGGAACGCTTGGAAAGAAATATGTAACTTGCCTGTGCTTGTCCACTGTCAGATTCCCGATACGTCAGCGATATATTGCCTGGTGTTGGAGGATGTGCTATGACAGTCACACCGTCACTGTATATGGGTTTAGAACATACATTCACTACACAGAACTTGACAGCAGCTCTGTAGGTTGTTCCTGGTTCAAGATGCAGACCGCTAGCCACCACCATATCCGATGTTCCAAGGGGCTCAAACTCTCGTTCAATGTCCCATAGGTCAACTATGAGAATAAAAGCTGAATGGCCAAATTGCAACTTTTCAGCAGTTCATTATGCATTTATAGAAACGACGACAACCCTAGTGCACTATTGTATATGAGATACACAGTTTACAGTAAACGTTTTGTGGCGTTTATCTTACAATACATCTCTTCTGTCATGTACAATGGTGAAATAATATCACACCAATGTAGAAGGAAGCACATTATGGATTAAACATGACCAGTACTTTACTGGATATATTTTACCTAATTATGATACATTTCCAGCAGGTAAGTTAACAAGTTAAATTGATTTAATAAACCACTCGGCCTGAGGACAATCGTGACTATGCTAATCTTTTTGTCATCGAGCGATCTTCACATACCAGTTCGAGGAACTTTCTTTTGCAAACTCCATTGTACATCAGGATAACTGAGCAGCCAGTTGCTTGTATCCCAGTGGGCCGCATATGATGAAGTAGATACTTGGTATGTGTTATCTCGTGAACATCTCTGTTAAGACATTCATCAATACATTTAACCTCTCACATAGAAGACCACAAGTGTAGCGACTTTGCATCACACAAGCAATATGTTACTTATATGGCTGAGGATATTATTTCATGAGCGTGAGGGACACACAATTGTATTTTCAAAGCGATCGAGGAATATATACAAACACTGACTCAAGTATCGTAAAATCGTGAGGATACACGTTATAAAATCTTCATGAGAGACACTGTTCGTCGGTGCGCTTCGCAAACAATGTTTGATAAACACATTCTGACGGAGTAGGAATTGCAGAGTTTTCTTATGAATATGTAAAGGATTTTCTTTTTTTGTTTACTGTCGAGATGTGTCGACTTCCATACTGAATGCCTTGTTGATTAGCTAACGCGGCGACATAGACTGTGACGGCGTTGTGACGTGCATGTTGCGAACCGTATGCACAAAATATCCAGGTAAACGGCTTATATGTGCAAGGCTATACCTTGATCACATGCACAACAGCCTACTTATTCCAGTTACGTAATATCTCACTCACCGCCTGGTTTACTGCACTTCGGAGAGCACCATTCACTAAAATCAAATTTCGTCGAAACCTCAATTAACTGAAAACTAAGAGCATAAATTGACTTTCTAGTGGATTTTAGTTCACATTAGTTCAGTTAGCCTAATAAGAATCCTGCGGTTTTATAATTTTTAAAGTGTATCAAAATAAACAACAGAACTTCTGAAACTAATATTTTTAATTATAAAATATTCTTTCGTTCAATAGTGTTTTGTGCTGAAAAGCCATGTCTTTTATCATTTCCCATAGAAACTGTCAGACTTGCAGAATTATAGAATTACGTGTTAAATTTTTATCATGTCGGACAATTTGAAACTAGTCCTTATCATACGGTTAAGGTTAAAACATTTGAGTTGCAAAATCTGACATCATATATTTCCGAATCATTATAATCATAAAGTATATGCAACATTTTAATGCAATTTTTCGTCATCCATGACAACTACAACAAATACCAGAATCACTGCATCCTAGGCCATCTCTGACAATGACATCTGTGATGTCAACATTGGGCCTGATGATCGTCACACCGTCAGAGGACACCGTCACGTCTCCGCCGCCATCGGTAGCAGCCACGACAGTCACAAAATACTTCTGAAATTAGACAGAGGCGCCACTTCATTGTACATATACAATCCTGTAAACAACAGAACAAATTCATAGTTTGCAAGTGTTTCAATCAACATCTGTTTACCAACCGTTTTCCAATGCAGGCTCAAACCAGTGAAAGAATGTAAGGTTGCACTTCCAACATAGACATGCGCCTGGATATCTGTTGTAAATGGCTGAGACCCAATTCCAACCGTGTACGTAATGGCAGTTATTCCATTGTCAAATCCATACCATCTCGCTGTTAAAGTTCGGGTTGATATTTGGTAGTCTGTGTCATCAGTACGCTGAAAGTATACAGACATATTTATGTCTTCCATGGTCATCACACATACTACAGGGACAGTGTTTTTATCGAGTATATAAAACAAACATTAATAGGAGTCATAGGAGTATATTGTAGTACACGAGTTCATGAGGTAATGAATGATCTACAAACATGTAGATATAAATAATGCAAACAGAAAATAATGGAAAGAAAACATTTGTTTTATAAATAGCAGAAGATTCAAAAGCAAAATGTATCCAGTTGAACATGACAAGAGTTGTACTTATGGGATACAAGAACTAAAATAATGATCTCAAAATATTCAAAGGCTATATCCCTTTCTTTACACGTCAGCATAACACTATCTTTATTACCAGAAACTCACGAAACAATAACAGGTTGTATAAGCAATGAAGTGTCCTACTAATCACGACATTTATGACAATACGTCTCGAAGACTATAGTTACTGACTTAATACGTGATGACAGAAATATCCACTATCGACAAAAAGAAAGCTGAATTGTGTTTGAAATATTATTAACGTGATCGACTCATGCATATCATGTAAATTACAGATTATATAAATCACTAGCATAAAACTGTGTGAACCTGTTTGTTTCGTGATATGATATTCAAACACACATTCGCGTTCGTTTGCCGAATACGTGATTAATAACATTAAAGATACACATACCGGTATTGTGAACAAGGATTCTTCTCCAGCTGGAATAACGTCTTCTACTACACCACGTAACGGCGGCATGACGTCATGGACGTAGGGTTCAGACACTGCCACTGTAGACAGTCCTACTATGTTGGTGACTCTGACTGACACAAAGTAGGTGTGGCTGTGATGGAGGTCCCAGTGGAGGTCTGTGAGGGCGACAGCTGTACACGTGGGTGGCGACGTCAGTGTACAACCTCCTCCTGACTGCAGCGTCGTGAAGGGGATTATTGTCGACTTGCCGTCCTTAGTTCCTGACGAACATAATGTAAGTGCAATGGCAGTTTCATAGGCATTTGAAATATGATGAAGGATATCAGAGCGATAACGACAGCACATACCTACTGCAGCTTCATATTTTAGATACCCTGTCTCTGTGAATGCTGTCTCTGGCCAACGTGCAATCAAATAGTTGTGTCTCAGCGTCACTGTCACTGATCCAGTAAATGCAGGGTATCGTGTATACACGGTGACAGGTCCAACAACCTTTAATGAAAACAGTTACATCTGGTCATTTCGTTCAAATACGTGTGTTTACGCAAAGAGTCATCAGTCCAAAGAAATTGATGCATATATTCTTCATAAACATACAACCTGAAACATAAGTGATTCTCTTTTGTGCCCTTACTCTGACAGTTGAGATGCCGGCTTTGTTGATGGCCTTGATGGCGATGTAGAACTGTTGCCCCTCACTGAGACGAGGATGGTAGCCCTGATACTGAGGATGATGATGAGTAGACGTGTAGGGCAGGATATCTGGAGCTGCTTCACCAGAAGGATCTGACATCAGCCCAAGCTCGTAGTCATAGATACCACTCTCAGTGTCACTGCCAGTCCAGTTTACGAAGAGCTGGGAAATAATGAAACACTTTACAGAAAAGCAGCATACGGTTTATAGATAGAAGACACATAATCAAAAACTGAACTGAGATACGGATAAAAACATTGTTACTGTACACAAATAATCAAATACTGATATGATAAGCTGGAGAAAACATTGTTAAGTTTCGCAAGTAATGAGTAATAAAAATATACAGAAGGGGTGTGCATGTTGGTACTTCATTGCGATCTTCATTGCATAAGGTACTCACGTGGTGTTCCCTGTAGACATAGAGTAAGTTGGTGAAGCTGACAGGCAATGCTAGTAAAGATTCACACGCAGGATTGTAAAGCTGCATCCCACTTCCATTGTTGTACCGATGTATTGGAAACAGGGACAGTCTCTTGTCATCTACTGGCGTGGCCTTGGAACTGGAGACAGTTACATGATATATCTGTGTGATGCCTAACTGTATACTTTATACTGGAGTATTGGAAATGGTATTAATGTTGCTTGTGAGCTACTGATTGCTTATAATGAGGACACTGTTTAACGATAAATAGGTTGACAGTTATCATCGTTACCAGTCCTTCGTTGACATGTTTTATAATGTACCTTTAATTTGTATTGATCAATAACTTGAATTAATCACGATATGGCTGAAACATTGCCAAAGTGTAAATTTTCATTCACTCACTCACTCATCGTTACCAAATAACTATTTAATTACAGATAGGTGGCATCGAATTTGATGTTGAATTTGATGAGACAAACTTGAACTGGTTGTGCGCATGAGACCAAAGTCGGCTAATCATGACGTCGACGATCACATCGTGAATAAAACATAACTTCGTTCATATCGGGGGAAAGTAGGATTCTCTTATAAGAACATATGCATAACCTTGAGTTCAGATGTAAAATCAAAACGCAAATCATTCAGGATAAATTGTCGTTTCAAGAATTAGAAAGACGACAATGTTCCTTCCTCCAAATGAGACAATGTAAATTACCGATGACATCAGCCCCGAACATAAATCCAGAATAATGTCAGAAAATATTCAATCAGACACAATGCTAATTTTTAATATGGTCCAACAGTCACCTGTTGCATATCCAGTTGTAATCCTCCTGGTATCAGCACGATGTTTTCTAGCAATTCTTCAGGCAAAATTACAATTACGTTTTAAACCTCAAACCGGATTCATCTATCGTGGTATCATGTGAAAATACGAATTATAATTAAGTACTTTCAATGATAATGGAAGTATGACCATCACACAGGACAGTCACGTACCACAGAATTAGAAAAAACAAAACAAAAACGCATACACTTTTCACTAAACTGTTGTACCTGCAAATGCCATCTGGATTGACCACCAGGGTACGTCTCCTGTGGGCGTCGATGAACCACACAGTATTATCTGATGACTTGACCAGCCCCTCCATCACCCTGGAGTCTCTCACTGCCACCTCACTGACACTGGGTGGTGTTGTGTCTACAGTCACTCCGTCAGAACACACTGGGTCAGATGCTTCCAGTGCTCGGTTGAAGGCCACCACTGTCACGTGATACTTGCCGACAGAGGGCGCTGTCCAGGAGGCGGATGTGGAATAGGTTTCCCTGACCTGTATGTCATGAGTGAATGATCCGAAATATTTAGACAGGTATGTGTGATTTTTACAAGAGAAAAACAACAACATCATTTCATCATATCTCCAGTACAGAAACACACACACGCACCACCCATGCACATATGGTACTTCCATATTATCTACATTCACCAAATTTTCCAATTCATCGATCACATGATTGTCTGGTTTGTTTTCAGGTAGTCGTCGCATGGCAGGGGTACTACGAAAATACTTCCAGTTTTAGGCAACTGTTGTGAATGGAGTGTGATACTTGTAGGGCAGGAGATGCTTAGCCGTGAACATGTTGTCATCACTGATTTTCAGTGATCCATTCACGTGACTCACACAGCCAGTTTCCCCCTTTACAGCAAACAGAATTTGTTTCAAGGATAGTCAAAACTGTGTATTCTTTAACGCTGACGTTCTATATTTACCTCAAATGAAGATTTATTAACTCCAAATTCATTTGCTGAGAGACAGTGAGGTCCAAATTTATATTGGTAAAATTTGACTCCGCTCTCTTTGTCAAAGAATCCGTCCCAGTGGCCGTAGAGTTGGAGATGCTGCTGGTAGTCCACTTCCGGGTTCCCCAATTGACCATCTTGAACAACGCCAGGATGAGGGGGGGCTTGTATCAATTGTCACCTGGACAAGATCGTGGAACAGCATGTTAGGAAACAGATCATGTGTATATTGATCAAAAGGAAATCATATATACTTGTATTCAACGCATAGAAGAGATTTCCAACAATCATACGAAAGTTTCACTTACTTTAAACTCCATCTTTGTTGTAAGCTTGGCGTGGTTTGTTACAGTGACCTCTAGATAGTAGTCAGAGTCGTGTGATCCCCTGCTTTTGTTGCTGAATATTCCTCCATGTGGGAGACTACTGTCTACTACGATGGGCTTTACTTGGAAGTGACGATGGTAGCAACCTATGGCTGGCGTGCAGTAACAGTTAGCTCCCCTTGGGGCATCAGTGTTGGCGCTCTTGCAGTCAGCAATACTCTGTGTTATTTACATACCAGATATTTTTAACAATACAGTTAGCTTTTGAGACATATTGTCATTAATATTATTGATGGTGTCTGACCAACCTCCATTGTCAAATATGTGATAAAGTGTGTTTAACAAGAGAAGTAATGGAGTAAAGCGCATATTCCATTACCGCAAGAAGTACAAAAATGGCATACATAGGTGTGTTCTCAAAACTACTTACACTTGTGTTCCCTTGAGCCGTGATGTGCTGAACTCCATGCACGATATCTAAACCCTGGTATTTATCTACAATACGCCATGACACCGCCTCCAAGCCACTGTGCTCATCGTATGCAATCCACTCCATTCTGAAATTGCATAACAAGGTTTGACAATTCATCACATCAGACCGTTGTGTCACACATTTTACCGTGATCAAGGTAGTCCACTGTTTTGAGTAGTACTCTGGTAAAGTTGGACGAAGGGCAAAATACAGATAATGTCCGCGATATAAGTCCCAAATGTTTGTTAAAGGGAATCTAAAAACAAACCAACAATAATAATATTGATGTATAATTATCTATTAATGAACACCATAAGCAAACAAATTAAAAAGACTCGCTTCCTTTCTGAAGTACTTAGGTAAAGTTGGACGAAGGGAAAAATACATCTCATGACATGTTTACTTAGTCAAAATATGTATTTATCCAAATTCTTAAAGTGAATCTAGAAATGAACTAACACTAATGTTGCTGAATTATAATAATTAATTCATTAACGCCATATTAAAACAAGGACTTGCGTCATATCGGAAAACTCCTCTGCTCCATGTACACTGATGTTGAGTCGGTCTCCCCTGGTTAGCCAAAGGTTCTCTATGACTGGGGGTGATGTGTCGATGTGGACTGTCACATGTTCTTCAAGGAATTCCCGTCTGATGTCATAGGCTCGTATCCAGAAGCGTACAGTGTCCCCGTCCACTAGTGAGGGTGTTATGGTCTGTGACTGACTCAGACCTTGACTGGTGAACAGGTTATCAGCTGGTGGACTGGTGATGGACGACCCTCCTTGGTGGTCGACTTTGTATGACGACAAGAATTGTGTTACACCTGTTGAATATACATGACCATACTCATTTATCAGAAGAGGGAGATGCTTGGGATTTCAGGGTTAAAAGTTAAGAAACAAAACGATTATGAATGCTTCTATATGGCCATTATTAGTTGCTTCGTTGAATAAGTGTGTATACACCAATGATGAATTGTTGTTATCTTGTGATAAATGTGTCATTATGTATTAGATTCCAGAACATGTGTATGTTCTATATAAACAAGCTTGCAAATTGTGCCAACCTTGAACATTGTTGATGGCAGCCACACTTCTGTCACCCTCCTTATCGTCATAGTCCGAACTGATGTCACCAAGAGAAGCCACGCCGTGGAGCCACTTGTTGTTGTGGTGGACTGTGTTGATGTATCTGTTGGTCCAGTCTACTGTCACTGATGATGACGTAGTTTGCCACTCTGATGTTGCTGATGATGCTGTTGTCACACGGAGAGATGTATTTGCTTGTGTTGTTACAGTTGAAGTACCATCATATATCAGGATTCTTCTTGTACTTCTGTGATTGCCTCCCTTGTCATAGGCAGTTAGGACAACAGAGTACACGCCCGCCGTAGTCAGTGTGTAGCTGTTGGACGTCTGGAACATTTACATGTGTAAACAATACTTTACATCTGTAAACAAGTAACCGAACAGGTCACATTCACCTTTTCAATGAATTGATGTCTTTGAACGATGTTCGTGTTGTTATTTGTAGCCGATTCAAGTAGTCGCACTTATCATTTTACTACTTATTATCACCAGAATGTATGGGTACGACACCCGCACACGCGCACGCACACACATACGCACACGGCCAGAAGCATGCATTCACATGCATGCGCTTACTGACACTACGAGACTGCAAATAATCACCCATGATTTGAATTGATTTAAATATTGGAACTACAGCAATTCCTCACCGTTGAGCTTGTCAACGTTGTAGTGTCAACACGACGTTTATCTCTGAGTACATCCCCAACAGCGTGGAGTTCATACACGTCCCTCACAAAGTGGTCGACTCCTGCATCAGCATCTGACCAGCCACTCCAGCGGAGGTTCACTGTGGACTGAAACAAGTCATGGAATCATTAAACCATCAACCTGTCTACCATCACCATTCATCAGGTGTGAAATATAACTGTGGTCATATACTTACAGTCTTGATAACATCGGGAACAGTCAGCATGCTGCCAACACAGGCAGTAGTACCAGTACAGTGATAGGGATCCACCAGGTCTATGGACACAGTAAAGGTGTGGGTCTGTGTGGCACCGTTGTAGTAGTAGGTCGCTAGTGTGTTACTCTCCTTGTCCCGGACCTTCACATACCCTCCATTACTTGTTGAATAAGTGAATTCCATACTGAAAACAATAATGTCAAAATATTTAGTGAAACAAACAATACTGGTGATGGGACAGAACCCGACCAAGAATATCTTGGTCAAGCCATCTTAAAACCACACTACTTGAGTGTGCGTAAGCAAAAGGATATAAACTGTAAACTCATGAAGAAAGCAAGCAATTCCACAGCTATTTCAAGCCTGCCAAGCTTGCTGGACAGAATCTGAAATTTGAGGTTGATTTTATTGATGGCAATGTACTGCTGGATGGTACAGGATGAGAGTAAACCAGGTGCAGTCATTCACCAAGTCTGCTCCGAGTCTGATGATTTGTGGGGAAGCTTTCTGAGAAGCCATTGCGTTGTGTGTACATGCAGTGTGTGGAAAAGAATATCCATTCCAAACGACTCATTCTAAGCAATGGTAAACTATAAACACCTGTCCACGACATTAAAATAACTAGATTATCACAGATTCGAATTTAAAACTAGTAATTAAATCCAAAACAGTTTAACTATAGAGGACAATACAAGGTAAAAACAGGCTATATATTGCCAACAACAGAAGGTAGATCACCATACCAGGGACCATGGGGACTTACAGTACATTTGCTTCCTGCATGGACCCTAGCTGGATTTACACCATCCCCTCAGCTATTAGCAATGGTAGATAATCTAGCTATAAATTACACGAACATATATTCTACGATTAAAATAGTAGTAGGTTTAAATTTACTTTGAATGTTTTCGGACTTACGTACCCTCTCAGGAGGACAATAATTTTACGCTACTTCAACCCCCTTTGAGGGCACTGCCACTAACAATCTAAGTTACTAATCAAATCTACCAATAATTAAAATACATATATGTACAGAACATATTACTCAAAATTCATTAATTAAATCAATTTCTTTTAAAAAGCCAATAATGAAATGAAAATTAACAGTGTTAAAAACATCCTTAACTGTTTTCACATTAAAGTATTTATCCCTTACGATGGCGAATTCAACACAGTCAATCAGGACATGCTTGACCGTGGTTCTCTCAACACAAGGGATACAAAACGGAGGATCCTCACCTTTCAATAGGTATGCATGAGTGTATCTAGTGTGGCCAATACGACATCGTCGCATGATGACCTCTTCAAATCTGGACTGACAACCCAAGTAAGTGTTACCAATATAGGGTTTTATTTCATGTAATTTATTGATCCCTACCTGGGTGTCCCACTTCGTCTGCATCAGATCACGGATGTAAGTTCTAATGCTAGCTTTGTAATCAGAGTAAGGAATAAGAAGTGGTGTCACAGATTTGTTGAGTGCTGCCTTGGCAGCAAGATCGGCCATTGTATTCCCAGAAATGCCAACGTGGCTGGGTAACCAACAGAGGACGATGTTGCATTGGCCAGTAACAAGCTCATTATACAATTCAATAATTTCTAATAAAAGTGGATGTTTACAAGAAATATTTTTAATAGCCTGGAGACACGAAAGAGAATCAGAAAAGATGATGTATTGTTTATATTTACGGTGTTGATTAATGAATATAATATATTTAAGAGCTGTTAATATGGCGTTAGCTTCTGCTGTGAAAATAGAGCTATTATTTGGTAATCGAGAAGGTACTGTTCGGGATCCAATGACAGTGGCACATGCCACCGCGCCACCATCCTTGGACCCATCTGTAAATAAGGATTTGTATGTATTATATTTATTCTTTAATTGATTATATTCTTGTTTATACTGTAATTCGTTAGTTTCGGATTTTTTAAACTTTGTCAGTGTTAGGTCAACTTGTGGCCTCACTAATTGCCAAGGAGGAGATGAAAGAAGACGGGAAGGAGACATATTCTTCAACTCAATGCCAGCAGCAGAAATATATTGTTGGATTCTTATCCCAAGATGTGGAACAAGTGAAGATTTTTTATTATACAACTCCTCATAAAGAGGATTAAAAACGCAAGTGTGAGCAGGATTGGATTCATTAGAATAAAACTTTGTGATATATTGTAGGGACAATTTGATACGGCGAAGTTTTAAAGATGGCTCATCGGCCTCAACGTAGAGACTGTCAATTGGAGAGGTTCTGAAAGACCCAAACCAAAGTCTTAGACCCTGATGATGGATAGAATCAAGTAGTTTGAGGTTGCTTTTACAGGCCCCGCCATATACGATAGAGCCGTAATCAAGTTTCGATCGGACCAGTGATCTATACAAATGAAGGAGGGTGGTTTGGTCCCCTCCCCACTTTGAACTGGAAACGACTTTCAACAAGTTGAGTGCCTTCAGGCATTTAGCTTTTAGATGTTTGATACGTGGCAGAAAGGTTAAATGCGAATCAAAGATGAGACCAAGGAATTTAGCTTCCTTGACAACTTTGATGGGTGTGCCATTTAATGATAATTCAGGATCTTTATGGGGTTTGTATTTCCTACAAAAATGTAGACAATTGGTTTTGGATTTCGAAAATTTAAACCCGTTTTCAAGACACCATTTATGAATTTTGTTATGACAAATTTGTAATTGTCTCTCAATAGTTCGCATGTTTTTAGCACGGCCAGAAATATTAAAATCATCCACGAAAAGAGATCCATTGATTGAATCACTTAAAACCTTTGAAAGACTATTTAGTTTAATACTAAAGAGTGTGACAGGCGAAATACTGCCTTGTGGGACACCCTGATCCTGATTGTAACAATCAGACAGGGTAGAACCCACGCGAACTTGAAATTGCCTGTCTGTTAAGAACTGTGATATAAAAAGAGGCAAACGGCCTCTCAATCAAAAATCGTGTAAATCTCTTAAAAATCTCTACCAATAATTAAAATACATATATGTACAGTACATATTATTCAAAATTCAGTCATTAAATCAATTTCTTGATATAAAAAGAGGCAAACGGCCTCTCAATCCAAAATCGTGTAAATCTCTTAAAATACAATGTTTCCATGTGGTGTCATATGCTTTTTGTAAATCGAAAAAGATCGACACTGCATGTTGTTTTTTAATAATGGCATCTTTAACAAAGCATTCTAAACGCACTAAATGATCGATAGTACTTCTGTTTTTACGGAAACCACATTGAATGTCTGTTATAAGGTTATTAGTTTCCAGGTACCACACAAGTCGATTATTTATCATGCGCTCCATGGTCTTGCAAACGCAGTTAGTTAATGAGATTGGTCGATAATTCGAAGGATCAGTATGATCACGTCCAGGTTTAGGGACAATAATAGCATCGCGACATGAAGAAGGAAATTGGCCAGAAGTCCATATATCATCAAACATGTTTAAAAGGGTTTCTAAGCATGAATCCGGTAAGTGTTTCAGGAGCTGATAATGTATGTTATCAGCACCTGTAGCCGTATCATGAGCTTGATCAAGAGCAGTATGAAGTTCATGAATAGAAAATATTTCATTATAATCTTCCCCATTATCTGAATTGAAATTAATAGTTTTCTTTTCCTGTTGCATTTTATAGTTTTGAAATTGGGGGATATAATTCGAAGAAGAAGAATGTTTGGCCAAAGTTTCTCCAAGTTTATTTGCTATATCAGTTTTACTATTACTAGTTAATAATTCGTCTCCGTCTTTGAGATGCTTAATGCTAGATTGAGAGCCCTTCCCTTTTATTTTCTGAATCATGTTCTATACCTTTGATATCGGCGTTCGTGAATTTATGTTCGATACATATTTTCGTCAGGATTGACGTTTACTTTGCTTGAAGGTACGCCGTGCCTTAGCATTTAAAAATTTAAATGTATTCAAATTATGGGCCATAGGATGGCGACGGAAATAATTCTCAGCTTTCTTCGGTGCCTTCCTAGCCTGTTTGCACTCATTGTTGAACCATGGTTTTCGCATGTGTGGAATTGCAGAGGATTTGGGGATACACTCATCAGCAATGTTAATTAGTTCATCAGAGAAATCTTTTATAGGATCAGTACATTCTATAAAGAGTTCGGGATAAGTCTGCTACAACACAGAGCTTGATACAAAGGCCAGTTAGCCAATTTAAAGTTCCATCTTGAATATGGAGTAATATGGGTTTACAGGTTGTAGTATAATTGGAAAATGGTCACTTCCACAGAGGTCATCATGGACTGACGATTCAAATTCATTTAGTAATTCTGAATTCGTGATCGATAAGTCGAGAGCAGAATAGGTTCCTGCACCAGGGTGTAAATACGTGTTGGAACCATCATTTTAAATACATAAATCATTGTCTCCTCCATTAGTTTACCTTTAGCGTTTGTATTTACACTACCCCAGAGTGGGTTATTATTTAAATCTCCCATAATAATACAGGGCTTCGGGAGTTGGTCATATAGAGCTTGAAGACCAGTTTTGTGAAACGTTGAAGACGGAGAGATATATACAGAACACAATGTAAACGCAACATGTAAAGTAATTCGCACTGCAACAGCCTGCAGATTAGTAGTAAGTGCAACAGGGCTATGGATAATGTTCTGTTTGACTAAGATGGAAGATCCTCCCGTGGCCCTGTCACCCATAGGTGAAAAACAATGATATGCATTGAAAGAACACAGGACAAAAATCATCTGTCTGTTTTAAATAAGTCTCCTGCAGACAGAGCGCTGATGGTGTTAAATCCTGGACTAAAAGCTGCAATTCATTTAAATTTGTCTTTAGTCCTCTGCAATTCCACTGTAGGATATTATTCTGATAACCTATCTTTTAGGGGGATTTATTGGGGATCTACCCCGCACTTGTTTGGTGGGCAACAAGCTGTGTGCCCTACTACGGACGTTTTCAGACACGTCCATATCCTCAAGAGATCCATATTTGTTGAATAATTGAATTTGATTTTCTGACCCCTTTGGGGCTCTGCCACTGAGTTTTTTTTGAAACATCTGGCTTTTTAATTTTGGTTTTAACGAGACCTTGCTGAGACTTTGTGGACGGCTGAGAAGATGGTTCATGATCAGGGGATGTCTCTGATTGGATTCGAGATGTACCGGGAAGTGAGTTTACAGTTTGTGTAGAAGTAGCAGCCGAGACAG